ATCTGTCTGAGCACCTCATACCCTGACAGAACATCTGTCTGAGCACCAGCCTCCATCAGTTTTCACCCAGAGTGTGGTTGTGGTTAGACGAGGAGGACGACATGACGAAGTACGATTTGCATGTTGAGCGTCACAAAGAAGAATGTGAGCAGCAGATCTCCATGTTGTCAATGCACTGAAACATTTTAAATAAATGTCACATTATCATCATAAAATTAAAAAAACTGTCATGTGCTGTCGGTGTTCTGCAGTTAGGTGTTAATCAAGTGTCAGATTTAATTGCAGTGTTTATTTAGTGATGTGTTTCCATGTAATTCTTTGATGTAATAAACAAACAGACGATCTAATCTTTAGTAAAAATCTGCCAGTTTAGAAAGAAAAATCATCTTTAAACTCCCCAACATGATTTTCAGCATAAGAAACAGCTAAAATATGCTTGGAAACTTAACACTCATACAACGTGCATGTACTGCAGAGTTGCATTCAGCCTAATAATCTGGCCCGGCCCATCCTGACAGCTCTAATGTACTGCACAGAGTCGCTGTGTGTGACTGGAGACAGGCAGTTATGACAGCATGTAAGTACCGAGTGTTTTTAAAAAGGGTTTATCATAATCATGGAAGGAAGGTGCTTGGTGTGCCATCTGGACAGAGAATGGATCATAAGGAAACCTGGTGGTGGAACAGTAAAGTGCAGGAAGGTGTTCAAAGAAAGAGGTTAGCCAAGAAGAAATATGACGGTGAGAGGACTGAAGAGGAGACAGGAATATAAGGATGGGAGGAAGAGCAAAAAGACGTAGCAAAGGCAGAGCAGAGGACGTCTGAGGAGCTGTACAAGAGGCTGGACACTAAGGAAGGGCAGACGGCTTGTATCAACAGACAGGATCTTATTATGAGTCGCACTGATCTCTGTGGATAAACACAGAACAGCCAGACTAAAGTATCCGACACTGATGAGACAGAACTGGATACTTTTGGCTCCGCTCACTGGTTTGTTTTATTTTATTATAAAGAAAGGGTAGCACCAAATGCACGCCTGAATATATTAATTCATTTCTGACTGAACAAAAAAAGCACAGTTTAACCCTAATCTAGTGCCTGTGCACGTATAAGTGCATGCAGGGTTGTGCAAGTGCATATGGTAAGTGCATGGGTGAATCGTTTTGTGCCCAAACACGACCACAACAAAACAGGCGCACAACCAGAAGTCTTCTGACAGTTGTTGCTTCAACTTGAAGGTGGCGCAGGTCACGAGCAGTCGTTGATACTGTGAGGTGTTACACACTGAACCCCTCACTGCCTCTGATGTGTGTCCCATCAGTGTATGAATGTGATAAATCTGATCAGTCTCATTAGAATGATTTGTTCAATTAGCTTTGTAGAGATCTAGTATAGAGCTGTATGAATGTGTAAATGAGACACAGATTGTTGTAAAGAGCTTTGAGTATCTTGAAATAAGATAGAAAGGAGATATACAAGTACAGTCCATTTACCATATTTCAGAGAACTTGTGACAGTTGACTCAAGTTCACTCTTTTTTTAACCATGTACATGAAAACAACAACCAAACAAAAGCCACGACATAATGATAAAGTGTGAAATAAAGGTCTGGCAGCAGCTCTTACTCCATGCCCTGTGCCGTCTGTCTGGCCACATCAATGCGACGCATGGTGTCAAACTTGGTTTCTGTGACGTGCAGATGGTGGTACAGGCTGCTGCCTTCACACCACTGAGTGATGATGGCAAAGTTGGGCTTCGTCATGAAGCCCATGAACAGCAGGATGTTGACGTGGCGGGTTTTCCTGCAGAGCATACAAGTGGTTAAAATGGAAATTCCATCAGTGAAAGTGCAAGCATGACATGACATGCAGCAGTTTGACGTCAACAAGAAAGCAGTGCTCACCGAAGGACCTGCATTTCATTTTTGAAGGCCTGCAGCTGCTCAGGCGTGGGCTCTTTGACCTTAAGGATCTTGATTGCTACGTCTCCATGCCACTTGCCCTTGTAGACCGTCCCAAAGGATCCAGTACCTATCCTCTTCAGAACATTGACTTCTCGATGAGATACCTCCCAGTAGTAACTTGAGTCTCTGTAGCCTCCTCGGTGCTGAAGTGACACAGTTACAGAATGGTTTGTACACGGCTAATCTGTAAGACCATCTTTATCACGAGCTGTTCGTTAGAGTTGCTCCTGTCTGAAGACAACCCTCAAATAAAAACTCAAACCTACCACTTTCTTTTTGTCATCAGATGAGGAGGGTTTGCGTTCCTTGTGCTCTGAGGGGGACTTGGGTGGTTTCCTCCCAGGAGAACCAAGAGTGGAGGGTGGGCTGGTGGAGGGTTTTGGTGAGGGTTCAGGACCTGCAGCCATGAAGGGCATCAAGGTTAATGTTGATTCAAAAGCAGAAGAATAAAATAAATAATATAAACACAGCAAATGGAGGGATTGTGTACCTATTGTGTTGAATTTCATTGCTTCCTAAAAAAAGACCACCACAGCAGAGACTGCATTAATAATCCACACAAACAAATATTTTTGGATAGGTGAACATCATGACCCCTTACCTCCATGCCGCTGATGGTAGCAAGGTCCACCGTGCTGACCATGTGAACATTGGGAGTGGAGGTAGAACGATGCCTCTGGAGGGACTGTCCATCTCCTCCTGACATGGGGAAGTTAAAGGTGGAGGGTGGGGACAGAAGGCCCATTCTAAAAATAAACAACTTTCAGAATATCAGTTCCATAAAACGAGGCTATCTGGTCATTTTCATGTTAGTTCAGGAGCTTACCCAGCAGGCTCTGGGGTTAAGGCTAGGTTGCTCTGTGATGGAGAATTTTCTGGCAATAATATCTGCGGGTAATCATCTGTGCAGGAATTATCACACCTGGATAAAGCAGAAGAAAGGTCAGGAGCTAAGAAGATCTCATTTTCTTTGACGCGATGTTGCTCAATAATCCAGGTAGATAAATCTAGCCAGTTTGAGTCAGGTCCTCTGGACGGATTCTTCTTGTTGAAATGTTTCATCTTTTATCCAAAAGACTTCTTCAGTCTGAGGAGCTGCAACAAACTCAGTCTTATAAATAAAACCTTCACATAGTGGATCAACCAGTTTGTTGTTGACATCCAGAACCAGCTGTTCACATGATCAAGGAGGAACAACACAACGTCCCAGTGGCTTTTAAACCCCAAAATACATCAAAGACTGGCTCATCCCAAAGATCCAGTCCCCCGGCACAAACAGAGTAATATTGTGTATGCTGTTCAGTGTCAGGAGGGTGATCAGTCTTACATCGGGGAAACTAAACAGCCACTGGCCAAAAGGATGGCCCAGCACAGAAGATCAACATCATCAGGCCAGGACTCTGTGGTCTACACTCATCTCCAGGCCAGCGGTCACTCTTTCAGGGATGAAGATGTTCACATCCTGGATAGAGAGGAACAATGGTTTGAGAGAGGAGTAAAGGAGGCCATCTTTGTGAAAAGAAATCGTCCATCATTAAACAGGGGTGGAGGCCTCTGTGTTCAACTGTCCCCCTCTTACAATGCTGTGATTGCTAGTATCACTCAGCCCTCTGTGAACAGTAAACAGCCATCAGTGTGCTAATGACCCATTGTTAGGCTGATGGTCCTTCTTGAGCATGTGATCAGCTGGTTTTGGTTGTCAGCAGCAAAACTGGTTGATCCACTCTGAGAAAGTGCTATTTAAGAGACTGAGCTGAATACAGCTCCTCAGACTGAGGAAGTCTCTTGGATGAGAGACGAAACGTTTCTACATTTTTTTGTTGTTGTTTTTTGAATGTCCAGAGGACCAGACTTCACTTTGTTAGATTTTTCTACCTGGAGTATTGAGCATGCATCAGGATAATAACAATGGATCATTAGCACCTGATGGCTGTTTACTGTTCACAGAGGGCTGAGTGATACTAGCAATCACAGCATTGTAAGAGGGGGACAGTTGAACCTGGAGGCTCCACCCCTGTTTAACGATGGACGGTTTCTTTTCACAAAGATGGCCTCCTTTACTCCTCTCTCAAACCATCGCTCCTCTCTGTCCAGGATGTGAACATCTTCATCCCTGAAAGAGTGACCGCTGGCCTGGAGATGAGTGTAGACTGCAGAGTCCTGGCCTGATGATGTTGATCTTCTGTGCTGGTCCATCCTTTTGGCCAGTGGCTGTTTTGTTTCCCCGATGTAAGACTGATCACCCTCCTGACACTGATCAACATACACAATATTACTCTGTTTGTGCCGGGTGACTGGATCTTTGGGATGAACCAGTCTTTGCCGTAATGTATTTTGTGGTTTGAAAGCCACTGGGACGTTATGTTTATTCATTTATTTATTTAATTACTGGGACATTTGTTTTCTAAAACATGACCGATTGTTAGGCTGTTGGTCGTCCTTTATCATGTGAACAGCTAGTTCTGGCTGTCAGCAGCAAACTGGTTGATCTTCTATGAGAAGGTGCTGCTTATAAGACTGAGGGTGCATCCACACCAGTCCTGTTTAGTCCGCTTTAATCCAGCTCTAGACCGTTTGCCTAGAAAGTCCGGTTCGTTTGGGGAGGTGTGAACGCACCATCGAACTCTGATGCGGATCAAAAAAGTGAGCTCTGGTCTGCCTAAAAACCCAGGTCTCTGTTCAGTTGAAGTGAACTCTGGTGCAGTTCAAATGTAGTGTGAATGAAGGCGGACCAGAGACCGATCCAAAAGCAGGAAGTGGACTACAGCGCAGGGCATTCTGGGTAAATGCAACCTTAACAAACGCACATTTCTCTAACCTCACACGGAGCCGTCTCAGCTGCGTTGTGTGAAAAACAACTTTCTCCATGGTCTTCTGCCTCATCTTCTGCTCATGCTGAGTCCATTGTTGAAAAATGTTTGTTTGGCACATGAGCCACAGACAAAACAGAAATCTTAAAACCGCTAAAATTTGATGTTGCTCCATTTTTGTTGTTATTTCCACAAGTCAGTTGAGCTCAGTGTTTCCTTCAGTAGTTGTTGGTGCAGCACCACCACAGGCGAGGGGGGGGGCCAGGTTGGCTCGACTGACTGCAGTGTGAATGTGAACCGCACCAGCTCAAAATGTAACAAATGTTCTGAATATTGGTCTCCAGTCAAACCGTCTACTGGACTATCAGGTGTGAAAACAACCTGTTTGTTGCAGCTCCTCAGACTGAAGAAGTCTTTTGGATAAAAGATGAAACGTTTCAACAAGAATCCGTTCAAAGGACCCGACTAAAACTGGCTAGATTTATCTACCTGGATTATTACACATCAGTATATTGTTTTTACCTTGCTTTTTTGGTAGGATAAAGTTTTTGAAAAAAAAAAAAAATGATGTAAAAGTATTTTGCCAAGTCAAAATAATTTAATCAGTTTTTTCCAAATTCCTATCTTAGCAAACCAACTTGTATGGATGGTATACTTGTCAAAATTAGGCCTGTCACGATAACAAATTATGCTTGGCGATTAATTGTCTCAGAAATTATAGAGATAAATGATAATATTGTTTGTCTCTTATTAATATTAATAATATTGTCTCTTTAAGAAAAATGGGAGGGAGGCCCTTTGACGTGACATGGGCTGTCTCTCATTCATTCTCAAAATGGTGGACGCTCTGTGTGGTTTGAGATCTTTAGCATAGGATTTTTCACACGAAGCTTTTAATTAAAAAAAAAACCAGTAAACAAGTTCTCAGCTTCTTTTTGCAAAGATAAAGGACTTTTTACACAAAATTCACGGGTTTCAACCGTGAATTTTGGAACTTCAACAAGACGGAGGTTTTATCCTGAGATTGGCATGTTAACTTAGCTCGTAGCTTAGCTTTTCATTAGCTGTTTTTAACGATCCAAAAACACAATTTTGGATCGTTAAAATGGATTTTAAAGAGATAAGAGTAAGGGAGGGGTCAGTGAAGAGCACTGGAGTTGAACTTTTTGTCATCCAGTGTTTTCAGGAGAGAGACACGAAGAAACAATAAAGCTGATAAATAAAAACGAGGTGGATAATTTTCATTTATCATGCGATTAATTGATTTATTGTTTATCGCGATAAGCCTAGCTGCTGCATTTTCCTTCACGATATTACAAATAGTATAAATATGGAATCTCAAAACTAAGATTTTTTTTTTCTTATTTCCAGAATTTGGCAAATGAATCAAAAGTGAACACGTTACTATGTTCATCTTTTATACGCCATCAATGAGAAAAATACCCTGGTTGTTTGATGCATCCATCCATGCATCCATCCATCCATATACACAGCATAGAAATGTTGCCTTTCATTAAGAAACATATCACTTTGACTCACCGTTTGCTCATGGTATCCATGTCGACACACACAGTAGGGACCTTGCTACTGCAGTGCTGATGAAATTTGTAGCCACACGTCTGACATCTGAAGCCATTAAAAAGAAACTTGTGGCAAAAATCACAGTACGCCAGTTTGAAAAACGTTTTCCGTACCTACAAACACAAACAAGCCATGACATTGACTTCTGCAGCAACAGTGTTTTAAAGAACATTTTAGTTCAAAAAAGCAATGTATTAAAAATAATAGGTGAGTTTTACAAACTTCCCGATAGGCTCACGTGTTTGTCAGCCACTTACATAGTTGTGCATGGTGAGAGGAATGTCATCCAGGACCTCGACTAAAAGCTCCTCTCCTACCAGAGGAGTTATGTCAGTATCCCAGTCGGTCAGTCTTTTACGACTGTGAAATGAGAAGGACATAAATATAATTATTTGTATTTATTTGAGAGAGAGAGTAAAACAAACAAACCTGGGTTCAAGTTAATTAATTCCTGACTAAAGTTTCACACAGTAAAATGATTCATGATGTCCTAAGTGCAACTTGAAAAAAATAAACCCTCTACGTAGAAGAGAACTTAACAGGATGATAAATCTTTCCTGAAAAAAAAAGATCATGAACCCCAGTACATAGCTTCATTTTGTCTTTATGATATGCTGAAAGGTGCCTTGTAATTAAACCGTTCATCTAGAATATCTTTATTTGTAGAGAAAAGTCAACATGACTGACAGAAAAGCAGAAACAGCAACTAACAAACCAGTCAAAGGCACTAAACTACCATTTACCAACAGGTTTTTTTTTCATACCTGTAATATTTTTTTGTAATTGTATTAAATTAATACATTTATTTTTATTATTATTCATGGCACATAACTGTGTAAGCTTAAAAAACTTATATTTTTACAGATATGAATACGATGAAATTCAGAGGCCTTTAGCTAGAAAGTACTAATGTAACAACCTGGAACATTATGGAGTCAGTGGACTTACATCACTTGAATTTTAGTTTCACAGGAACACACTGGACAGGAAGTGCTTTCCCTCTTTTAATACATCACGTGTAACATTTGACTGGTGAGGTCAATTTTTTATAGTCACCAACAAAAGCCTGAACACACAAACTGAAATAATCCACCCATTTCTTACCCAAGATTACCCAGAAGGCCCTGCAGCTCCCACAGTCTCCTACATTAAAGTACAACATGTACCGTATTTTTCAGCCTATAAGTCACATAATTTACATGCCCTGCGACTTATAGGCCGAAGCGACATATTTATGGATTTTTCCCCATATTTATAAACCATTTTTTGGGCTGAAATATATATGACCGTTTTCATTCATTCTGACTGAAAAAAGAGCAGTACCACTTTCAGCCACTTGATGGCAGCAGAGTAGTAATAGCAATATGGCATGCTGTTGCATCATGTAATAGGTAGGGGTGCACCGATAAATCGGCCGGCCGATCGATCGGCCCCGATTTCCTTAATTTGGGGAGATCGGCGATCGGCCGATCTTTAAATGAGAAGCCGATTTTATCCACCGATCGTAGCTGCCTCCGGAAAGTTCTGAAAATCAGCTGCTGTCCCCTTTTGCTCCACTGTGAGAGCTCACACACAGGTCACTCGGAGCAGCCATGTCGTCGTTTTGGAAGTTCTACGCTGTAAAAGAAAATGAGCCAAAGATCGCAATTTGCAATTCGTGTAAAGCCGAAGTAAGTAGTGGTGGAGCCACCACCAAAACCTTTAATACAACAAACCTCGTTCGCCATTTAAGAAATCACCACGCCGCCAAGTATGCAATGTTTGAAGCGAGCAACCATGCTAAGGCTAATGCTAAAGCTAGCGCTAACAAAGAGGCAGTCGGTGGGTCGCTGTTAGCTTTTATGAGCAACGAAAAGAGCAAAGCTACCACGAGGAAAGTGATGGAGTTCATGGCATTAGACGACCAGCCATTTTCAGTCGTTGAGGACAAAGGTTTTAGAAGCTTGATGCAGCACGTGAGCCCACGATATAATATGCCGAGTCGGAAATATTTTTCTGATGTTGCATTACCGGAGTTGTTCAGCCAAGTTTCGAGAGACACCCGCAGCCTGCTAAAAGCTAATACAAATACACTCAGCTTTACAACAGACATCTGGACTTCTGATGTAAGTTTAATGTCCATGTTAAGTTTTACTGCACAGTGGATTTACGAACAGTTCGAACGTCATCAAGTACTCTTAAACTGTAAAGAAGAGAGAAGAGAGGCAAGCGAGCACAGACCGTGGCGTGGGTACAGCCAAAGCTACGTTGCTGGAGGCTGTTGTGAGAAGATTCAGCAACATTGAGCATGAGCCCCTGTACAGCTTGGCCACTGTTCTGGATCCAAGGCAAGTAACTATTAACATTCTATTTTAGCCATAATTACTTTTAGCCTACTACTATATTTCAACAAACATTTAAATTAAATTAAAAATTTCTTGATTGAAATGCATTTCTTTATTTACATGCAAGTCATAAAAACTGTTAATGTATACAAAACACAATGATTGACCCATCTTTCTTTGTTTATGCAAAACAAGGTACAAGAATCGCTACTTCTCAGCAGAGGTGAAAGATGACGTGAAACTGCTCCTTTTGACCAAACTTGCAGAGGGGGAGACCAGATGCACACCTGCTGCAGGAACATCCTCTGAAGTGGGACCTCCTGATATCGATGAACCTGCAGCCAAAAGGCGTAGTCTACTGTTTGCAGCTCACGACGAAATCTTGAAGGAGAACATTGAACAGGAGCAACAGCTGGCCAGCCCTTCAGCTATGCAGGTACAGAACTACCTATCTGAGGTTCCTGTCGAAAGGAGCCAGGACCCATTGGTCTACTGGAAGATCAATGAAAATCGTTTCCCTCATCTTGCTCTACTTGCCCGAACCTATCTCTCTGCCCCATGCACAAGCGTTGAAAGCGAGCGCCTGTTTAGCTTGGCTGGACATGTAGTAGATGAGAAAAGAAGTCGCCTGTCTGGTGACAAAGCAGAAATGCTTTTGTTCATCAAGAAAAACCTGCCACTAATGAAAGTGACTGGAATAAGTCTGTGAGAACTAACTTACCTGTGCCAGTGTTATTTCTTATTACCGACTGACTTGAAAATGTTACACTTGTTGCATTATCTTTTTAAGTTTTTTTTAAAAAATGTAACAAGTGAAAGAGTTGAAGGAACTGAACTTTTTTTTTTTGGTTAATTTTATAGTTTTAACAAAAATTGTGTAAACTTCATTTATATTTCAGAATACTACCTCATGACAAATTAAAACAACAAGTTTGTATTGTTTCTAGGGTATTTTTCAAGGGTATGTTTTACAATAAAATAAGATTGGTAAATTGAAGGTGCATTGTGATCTTGTAACACCCGACACTGTTGCTTATAAAAAAAAAATCGGTATCGGCCAAAATCGGAATCGGCAGTTCAGACTTTCAAAAAATCGGTGATCGGTGATCGGCCTGAAAATTGAAATCGGTGCACCCCTAGTAATAGGTAAACGTGGCTATAATGACAAATTCAAATAAGTCAAGACAAAAACAACTGGACTATATTTATTATAATTCTTGTTTTGTCTTGAACTTTTTTTGAATTTACCATGTCCTGGATGACTGAGAATCTTCACCAGCTATTAATGACTCAATCGGCCTGCCATAGTCCCACCTTCGTTCTGCTCGCTGCTTAGAACCGTCAAACCAGCTGCACCACCCCGGCGAAATACAGCTGATTTGACCATTAAAGTGCATTTATTAAGCAAATGTTAGACTGAGACACACCTTTGATATAATTTCGAGCAAACAAATAATTGGGTAGGTGCTTTTCTTGTAAAATTTCGAACAAGCCACGTTCCTCCTCCTTTTATCCACCCCATCTGCACGCTCCCGGGAGCACCTCAGCAGCAAAACTATTTTGAAATACAACCGATTTGACCATTAAAGTGTATTTATTAAGCAAACGTTCCACTGAGACACACCTTTGCTATAATTTCGAGCAAACAAATAATTCTTTAGGCGTTTATCTTGTTAATTTTGTACAGCGACTCGTCGCGTGCACGCATTTACTTCCGCGTATCGGGTTTTGAAATACAGCTGATTTGATCATCAAAGTGTATTTATTAAGCAAATGTTAGATGGATGCTCAAACTTATACTAAATGTGTGTAAACAAATAATTTTTTTCAAGTGTTAAATTCATTGATTTTTCCCACTTTATTAGACAAATATGGACTGATTCAACTTATAGGGCAGAGCGACATGTACGCTGGAAAATATGGTAATTTCAATAATTCACAATAAAGAGTAACACACAGAACTTAGTTTCTGTAAAATTTCATCATGTAATGAAACAAACACAACTTTAATTTGAAAATTACGAATGTAAACCCAATTCTGATATTCAACATGAATTTTTTGAACAACTACAATTTCAGTGTGGCTTTTTGAATTTACAGGTTGCAATTGAGTCACAAATCTTCACATGGACAAAAATATAAATAAATAAATAGTATTAAATGACTACACTAGCTGAAATCCTGTAAATACAATCTTTTTTTAATTATAATTATTTTTCAAATTAAATCATTTTAGGGGAGACATTTCATCTCAGTCTCTCAGCTGGAGCTTAGGCCAAGATGGCCGCGCTCTCTGGAGCTGCAGCTTCACAGACTCCTGGTGTGATCCCAGGTTTTAGGAGTTTTGAAACTGACTCAGTGCCCGACTCCGAACGATTTGTGTGTGTGAACTATAGCCGAACCGAACTGAGAAGAAGAGCGGATTTGCCACGAAATATAGCAGCGATCAGCAACAAACTCAAATCTACGCTCGGCAGAACGCAGATCTTAAAGTCATCTACCTGGAAGCTGCAGCAAAGGCGCACCAACAGGCAGAGGAGGAAGCGCTGCTCCTGGCTTAACAAAACGAGTTTGCCAGGCTGGAATTCTGGTGAGGCTATGTGCTAATGCTAAAGTTGACAAACTCCCGACACCCTCTCTCTTTCCGACAAACGTCCGCTCATTGGACAACAAGATGGATTTGCTTCGGCTGAGAGTGAGCGCCTCAGGGGAGATGAGGAAATGTGCGGTGCTTTGCCTCAAGGAATAACAGTGACATGCCGGATTCAGCCTTCCAGCTGGACGACAGACTATTTTTTCAAGTGGATTGCTGCAGCAAGCTAACAGGAGAATCAAAGGGACCACTAGACTGAGAAACAGCTTCTACCCTGAGGCTGTTCGACTCATGAATCTTTAACCAGAATAATCACTGATGAATCACATCGTGTTGCTGCTGATCGGTTCCATGTTGATGTGTTCATGCGTGCTCATCTGCTCACACAGACTCATGCTTGTGCTGCTGTTGGGCATATTGTTTTTATGCTATTAGTGCATAGTGTACATTTATTTAGTTGATGTTTTTCTGAGTTCATATGGTGGATGTTATTACTGTTTCTTTTAAATTTTATTGTTGGATGTAACTGGGACCCTGTGTACATAATCTCATTCCACCATATGTACCACATGTGGTGGAACGACAAAGAAACTCTGACTCTGATCTGTCAGTCTGGCAAAAATAACGAAATAAAAATATATTCTGTATGTTGCAAAGGACTTCCAGTGCTATATATATTTTTTAAATATATCCGACAATCTTTCAAGTGAAAACACTGAAATGACTAAATTAAAGTATAGAAAAGTTGTTCAAAACCCTCTCTTCCTTCTGAATGGTGTTGGGTTAGAGTCTGGATGGAGCAGGATGAAGTCTTCCTACAACCTCTACGCTTCATCAGTAGCTCCGCTACATCCGGACGGGGAGCGAAGACTGTAGCAGCCCAGACCTACTTCTACTGAGGTACCAGGTAGGCTAAATACTTCACTACAACCCCGTCGACATCTGCCAGCATTACCAACATATCACCAACAGTGGAAGAAAAATAAAAGTAAAACAACTTGTACTTTTGAAAAATGTGGCTTTAGAGACAATGTATACTTACAAACACATTTCTCCTATTTTACGAGCGTTTCTATCTAGCTTGAACAACATGAACCACAATAATTTAGTAGGATTACATCCAGTACAAATGTTTGCACAGTATTTGGATGAGACAGTATTTACAGCAGCTTCTTGCTCTTCTATACAGACAATAAGGAATGTGGTCCATTATTTGTTACTGATGTGGGAGGACACACGGCAGTGACATCTTACCCTTCTAGTAGGCGAAACACAGCACAGCAGTCTTGGCTCAGACCTCTCACTTTGAGCGCTTTATCTAGAACGTCGTACACAGTTTGCCCATGCCGGACATTCACCTGTCAACAGAAAACCCACAATGACACAAGTTTAATTCTCAAATCATATTTTTTGGCCACACAACCAAAACAGAGAAAACATCAAACTGAATAACTAGCGGCACAGCAGATGTTGAGAAATTAACCATCTGCGTCCAGACCCCCCTTTAACTCCAAAAACTAAAGCTTTATTCCTGTTCCAACCACAACAAAGCTCTTACAGACAGTGTGGGATGTCAGGCAGCCACAAATGCAGCTTCCATGGCAACATTCCACACAAGAGGTTTCATAATTGTGCTAGCTGTTCTCACATGGTAACATACAATTCATTTGGTGAGTACATAAATGCATACATGGCAAAGTTTAGCTTATTTTATACAAAACGTTTCTGCTGGATGAAAAAACCTGCAAGTATGGATGAAAATGTGTGTGTATCCATTCAGTAGAAAATATGACTACTTGTTATCTAGCATTCCTTGAAGAAACGCATATCACCTGCCACCTTTCAAGCCAGAGTTTTTCCACAAAATTCATGTTGTATGGAGAAACAACAAAACTGAGGCAGCTCTCAGTGTGGGGCCAAGATGGGGCAGAGGCATGGCAGCCGACTTCAGACCAGAAAGTCGCGGTTCGACCCTCAACCATTCCCACATGTTGTGGTTTTCTTCTCCGCTAGCTCTCTACGAGGACGGATGCTTTTACTCCTGCTCCTGCCTCCCTCCTGCTTTGCTCTTTGTCTTGCGATTCCTATCGGAGCCTCTCACTATAGATCCTCTGAATTGTAAATTATGGATCTGATGAGCTGGTCTCTCAACGTAAATATAAAATGTTCTCGATGAGAAGACGGGGCGAAGGAGAGCCCTCATGCCCTGAAAGGACACTCGCAGCTGGACATACTATGGATTGCTGGGAACAGTGGAAGACGGTGTGTCTGTATTGTCCGTTGAGGATGTTGAAGACGTGTACACAGCTGGATTTATGATAACAGGATTTCTGCTTTTTGGAGTCTGTGGTTACCGGATTTGTCGACAAATGTGGAAAATGTCGGCAGCCCACTGGCAGGAAGGAATCGACCTTGGAGAAGGCTACAAACTCGGTCCGGCAGTGTGACCACAACATTTGGCTGTTTGGAATCGCCACCGAGACGTACCAGCAGAACTTGGAAGGCAGATGAGATGAGATATTTGAACCAGTGAATGAAACGAAAAACAAAACACACACAAAATTGCCCTTTCATCTTCAGGGATGTGAGATAAAAATATAATTATATTTATTTTAATTATATTATTTTAATTATTATTTAATTATTTATGAGGTTAGACATATTTAAGAGCTGAAATAAAATATAAATATCAAATGTTAAACTGTGTAAAGCAGAGTCAGAATGATTTTTGACTAAAGTCATTTTCCTCCCACTCTTCCTCACAGCCGGCAGGTTTATGTCTTACAGTATGCCAAGCTGTGAAAAACACACCAGTCAGAATGGATACTGGGAGTGAACGCATTCCTTTACTCAGGTGCTGTCTGTTATATCTGCGAGATGTAATGCATGCATTATGTAATGCTTCAGGAGAACAGTGGTTTACAAAATTATTGTGCTTTATGTGTCTTAAAAGTTAACTAAAAATATTTCCTATTCCTTATTTGCCTGTGCTGCACCACCCATCAAAAAGGTTTTAGGGAGAAAACATGCAACAAACAAACAAGTAGATAATCTAGGATTCGCTGAAGGAATGCATATCGCCCAAAGTGTAGCGCTCAGATTACTTGTTGGGGATGACTCAACTATGCACCAAACTGTAGCCTAGTTTCGATAAATCTGATGGAGTTACCACCATGATTATTGTTTTTTTTAGGTGTAATTAGCTGTAGTGGCCATCTTGATTTGGGTTGTCTCAAACAGTTATGGTAATCAATTTTAGTTGCACATCCAATATTACTTTGTGATTACTTTTTTATTAAAATCCATTTTGTGGTTAATATCAGTCAATGTATTTATACAGTACATAAAACAAACAGAAGTTGCCTAAAGTGCTTTATAATTAAGTCAATTAAAAGGGGGCGATCAGTGGTGGCTTTGGTGGCCACCAAAGACCAAGGCCATCTTGGATTGACAGGGCAACCCAATAAATGATGGTAAACATTATTACGCCAAGATGCAGCTACACACCAAAATAAGTCAGTACGTCACACATTTTTCCAAATTATTCAGCTCACAAGTAAGAAACTACTGAGACTACTGTATCTCAAACCACCAAAAATCTAAAGGATCCAAAGAGCTTCTGGAAAACTTAAATCTCTTGATGGCAGCACTCACACATCTGACCTGCCCCCACAATTATTTGTTGACTCTGCTCCTGTGTCAGATAAGCATGAGATGCTAAATTGTTTCAACAAGATGCACAAACATAACTGGTGGCAGTCATAACGGAGTGTGATGTGGCAACCCAGTTTTCAAAAGAAACCTTTTAAAGCCTAGATGTAGCCACACACCAAAATGAGTCTGTACCACACTTATTTTTCAAGTTATGCTCACAACAAGCACAGACAGAGGGAATTTCCAATTTCCTCATTTTGCTCCACGATGGGGGACGTAAAATAAAATCAATCAGCTCTTATTGGTTCTCAAACTCTACCTGAATCAAATGCCAAGGAATAAAGATGAGAACGAAGAAGTTAATCCATCCATCATCTTTACCCGCTTCTTCCTTTTTGGGTAGCAGGAGTCACTGGTGCCCATGTCCAGCCATCACTGTGTGAGAGGCGGGGGACACCCTGGACAGGTCTCCAGTCCATCACAGGGACACATAAAGACAAACAACCATTCACTCTCTCACTCACACCTAGAGACAATTTAGAGTTACCGATCAGCCTAACGTGCATGTTTTTGGTCTGTGGGAGCGGTGTTTAAATGATCAGGTAAACTATTCTACAGTTTTAGAACATCAACAGTAAAAGTCCGATCACCTCTGAATCTCAGTTTGGGACATCTAAGAGAAGCTGGCTGGTTAACTAGAGTGCCCTTACTGGAGTGTAGATGATAAGAAGATCATGACTGGGTCAGATCTTTTAAAATTTTAAAAGCAGTAAAATCTCAACATCAATCTTGAGGTGGACAGGAAGCCAGGAGAGAAGCTAGGACTGGGATTATGTAAACATGTCTTTTAGAACCTGTTCAAAGATGATCTGATGCATGCTGGATAGTTTATAAGCGATGCAGAGAAGCTTTATCCAAGCCAACATACAAAGCATTACAATAGTCCAATCGAGAGGTAAGAAAAGCATGAATCACCTGTCCAAGGTTTTTGGTAGGGAGCTAGGACTTCACCGTGGCAATTTATTTCACTGTTGTATTTATCAGTTTTTTAAAGCATTATCAAAAACAACACCCGTATTCCCGACAGTAAAGCCAAGGAGCCATAAAGGCTCCCACAGACTCGTGCAGACACACTGTAAGTCCACGGAGGTCCGTGCGTACTGGATTAGAGTCAAAGCGGACGCCTGCAGGGCAAAGATCAATTTTTACGACCGTGTACGCGTACTCTGTGTCGCACAATAAACTGCCCGGCGACAGACTCTTTTGTATGCAACACCAATGTATTAAATTTCCCTTCTTCATCCCTGGTTTGGTTTAATGGTCTTTTCTTTTGTTTTTTTCCAAGAGGCAGTGATCTCTTCCTCCTCGTTTGTTGAAACCATGACTGAAACTATGAGAAATGAAGGAATTTGTCACGAGAGAATTAAAATCAGGTCCAGCGTGGCTACGGGAGTGTCTGGAGATTTCCTGGTGGGCCAATCTGATGTGTGGGCTGCAGGGCCAGCGCTCCCCGTCTTTTTAAAAACATTTTTAGATCTTTTTATTAACAACATATAAACACAGAACACAGCTGTGACTGTCAGCTCTCGTTTTTTTTTTTTTTTTTTTTTTGCGACCTGTCAATCAATCCTGTAGGCATGTCAGTAAATGACCATTCGGCGACCTCAATTTGTCCCAAAGGTAAATGCCCCTTGACTGCGGAGCTGGTCTGCAACTGCTCAGGGTGGACGCTGGAGTATGAAGTCTGAACCCTCTGCAGACAGTGCACACAGTTTCTGCACAGACTGAGGACCGCCCGAGTCTGTGCGAGCTTTAAGTCTCAAGGGTATTGCATTTTTCAAAGCTGCTGACTTCAGTCTTATTTTCATTTAGATTCAGTAAATTTAGTTTAAAAAGGCTGTAATTTCATTCAGGCAGTAGTTCACAAGATCATTTGCCAACACAAATGAACACACACGTCAAAATATTATTGTCTTCTTTTAACCTTTTGGAAGAAGGTGATAATAAATGGGACCACTGTATGTTTTACAACAAGCTATTGAGCAATGCGTTGCAGCAAATCACTGAACACAACGATTACTATCTACATCCATTAATGACACGAGACACAACAGAGTAACATCCATGTTGGTTCAAATTCAGTTTTCTGTTGTGTTTATAGGTGGGATTTCAAAATGAGACAGTATGTCTTTATTAGTAACAACAAAGTTAACGATATCATAAAATGATCTTTATCTTAAGACTGTTTGGTCTCCTGTATTCTGCGTCAGTCAACCTCAGTCACATTAAATAGATATTTCAGACACGATGTAAATATCTCAAGACTTGTAGCAGACGGCGCCGATGAGATAATAATGGCAAGTTTGAATTCAGAAAAAGACCAAAGTGGTTCGTGGTCATCTTAAAACGTCTCCAGTTCTTTAAATTTCATTGAATATGATGAGAATGCTAATTTACAGTGTCATTCACAGCCAGTGGTGGGATGTAACCAAGTGCAAATACTTTGTTACTGTACTTCAGTACATTTTTCATGTATCTGTACTTTACTTAAGTAGAGTTAAACATGGGTACTTTTGACTTTTACTCCACTACATTCTACATCAAGTATCTGTACTTTCTACTACACTACATTTCTATAATGCGTTGAGTTACACGTTACATTCACGTTGTGTTTTTTTATTTGTTCGTTAGTTTGAAAGTAACCAATGGTGAGAGGAGAGCTGGTCCAGTGAATCGCTGCAAAGTGGGCAGGTAACGTTAGGCCCGCCTTCAAGAAGAGCTGGAACAGTGACATATATTCTAGTATATATGTCACTGAGCTGGGTGCACCCGCAGCACCACTACACCCAGAATGTACTCCAGCGCAAGCGAGTCAGCCAGAAGATACGCTCCACCCATGGCCTTAATGAAAAACTGCTCAGTACAACAGGACAGATTCTCTCTCCCAAAAGAGCCAGACTGGACTCAAAGAACTTTGAAAACCAACTTCTTCTGAACTTGAACAAGAAATTCTTGCTGCAATATTAAAATGTATCAGTTCATGGGACGTTAGGAGACAAGAGATGTCTCCAAATGTCTCGACACTCAGGTCCAAGTTTTAAAAATGGCGTCAGGAAGTTAAAATATTGTTCAATATTGATCCATTACAAGGTTGAATGGACAGTATTTTAACTGGAGTTGAACTGATCAGAGCCTGTTCCTTTGTTAGTTGTGTCTAATGCTCCTTTCTTCAGGCAGACAACTTTTACTTAAATGTGTTTACTGCAGTTAAAATGACACATTGTTTTACTTTGTGTTAGATAAAAACTTTCAAAGGTAAAATCATTCCTCTTTCTTATTTTGCTTTATGATATTTAACTCTGCAGGTCACCCCTGAAATTCTGATGCACAGAATCACAAGTCCAGGTGTGAACTGTGTCACAGAGTAAACACAATAAAAACATGTATTATCTGCAGCGTCGTTCATTAAAACAACACTATTAATGTAATACAAAAAATATACATATGGTAGGTACACTTAATGATATGTAGACCACTGCATTAGGTAATTAGGAAGTATTTTTACTTTTAATACTTTAAGTATTTTAAAAGCAAGTACTTATTTACTTTTACTTAAGTAAAACTGTTAATGTGGTACTTCTACTTTTACTAGAGTACATTTTTGTCTGTTTATTTGTACTTTTTCTTAAGTACAGTGTTTGAGTACTTTCTCCACCACTGTTCACAGCACAGTTATTTACAGAGAATTTTGTGGTTATTTGCAAGTAGTGGCAGCTAGGTCTGTCACAATAACTAATTTTTCTGGGCAATTAATTGTCTCAGAAATTCTCTCAAATGATTTTTTTTTTTTTTAAATGTGATATTGTGCACCACGGAACTAAAGTTCCTAAGCGTGTGTCAGCATGGCACTTTTATCTTACAGCACGCGCAGCATTAGCAGCCTAGCATGTCGTTGTGGTCTCCTGTTTGGGAACGTTATGACTTTCTTGTTAAAAGACAAGTGAACAAATCCAAAGCTGTGTGTTGACGTTGTTTCATGGAGATTGGATCTGCAGCAGCAACACGTCCAACTTGTTAACGCACTTGAAACAACATCATTCGAACGTGAACGTGTCTTCTACAGAAGAGTAGCTTGGTTGGTGCAAAGACGGATAACAGCATCATTTAAACAGCCTTTATCAGGTCATTCAGATCGAACAAGAGCAACAACACAAGATGTAGGAGTTTTTAAAGCTCTGGATCTACGTCCGAATGTTGTTGATGCGCCGGCTTTAAAGTTACTGAGCCCCGCTACGACATCCATCACATCAACACTTCAGCCAAAAAGTTGTAGCAGCACTTTATAAAAAAACTAAGACTGATTGTCGACAAGCCCTGACCCAGATTAAAGCTCTGCCACATGATGATGACCGAGAGATTCAACCACCTCATAATAAATGATCGTTCAAGAAGAGGCATTGTTATTTTATTATTATTATTATCTAATTAATCAACAAAGTCCATGCTCAATAATCCTGGTATACAATCCAACAATTTTCAGTCAGGTCATCTGTACAGTTTCTTTCTTTTTCTTCCTGAAACGTTTCACCTTCCATCCAGAAGGCTTCATCAGTCATCCTTGACTGTTGAAGCCTTCTGGATGGAAGGTGAAATGTTTCAGAAAAAAAAGAAACCGTCCAGATGACCCGACTGAAAATTGATGGATTATTTAATTAACTTTAATTTAAAATTATAATCTTGTTAAATATTTTTTTTAAACTCTGTTTTATTTCCAGTCTGGGACAGAGATAGCAGCTGAGTCTTCTTCCTCTTCAGTGAAATCCACCAGAGATCACCCCCACCTAAGAATCTGTGATGAGTGAACTCTGAACTCTTCCAGGGACCTGTCCCACCTGTGGGAGCAGGTCCAAGAGGTTGTGAGTAATGAGGCCAAATACAGTCACACTGCAAAACTATCAAAGCTCTACCTCTTTATTCCTGCTACTGTTGTTAGTGAGAGGTTTTCTCCACCGCTGGAGATATTCACTGCAACTAGATCTGTGCTTTTGGCAGAAAATGTGGACAAGTTGGTCTTTTTGGGCAAAAACTTAAAACTTTAGTTAGATTGTAAACAGTCTGTTGCTGCTTGTTGTTCTGGTTCTGACTGTTATTGTATTTATTAAGATTTTTATTATTGTTAGTATATATTATTTATTGTACAGTGCGCGGTTTATTTAAAATATCATCCAAATGGGTCGCTTTAATTTATTTTTATACAAACGTATTTTTTACTTGGCATATTTTCAAAATAAACATTTTGTAAGTCTTCATTTTGGCCTTTTCTGTACCAAAAATTTATCAAACCGAGCGCTCCTTGAAACTGAACTGAAAAGTGATTTTAGTGTACCGTGACACTCCTACTATAGACAGACTGTTATACAGATGAACACAAATATTTTAGAGCAAAATTATCTGGAAGAATACAGAACAAGGATATTTTAATTGAATGTGCTGTTTGCTTCAGCTTTTGTAGATGCTGCTACTTCCTTTACCGCAGATGACAGCAAGTGTGGAGACACGCGCGGCCGGTGATCAGCTGATCCATCTGAGCTTAGACTTTTTTTTTTTACCTCTTTCAACAGGCCGGTCTGACCTGCCTCCTCCTCAACAAGTAGATTAACACAATTTTATAGAGTGCATTCTTATTTAGTTTTCTTTGTGCTGTATGATTCGTAAAACCGCATCATTGAAGCCTGAGCCGACATGCAAAATTATTGTGCAATGTGCCAGTGCTACTCACTTCACAGTCTGATTAACTGCTGTACTCTTTCTTCATCCTCTCAACATATAAACGTATTGCCTCCTCAACAAGTAGATTAACACAATTTTATATTGTGCATTCTTATTTAGTTTTATTTGTGCTGTATGATCCGTAAAACCGCATCAAAGCCTGAGACCGGCCCAGCCCGCACATTATTATGGCCCGACCGGCCCGAATTTGGGTCGGGCTTCGGGTTAGAACAGACAGCTCTACAATCATTTCCAGCAGAAATGATTGTAGAGCTGTCTACAATCATTTAAATTCCATAATGCATTAATTATCATGGATAACACTCCTTCATGTCAGTAAAACTGGTTTACACTCAAACTGCGAGGTCTGGAAAATGTTTGATGCATTTCCACTTCAGGAGTTTACCGTTTGCACATCCTGCCTGAGTGACAATATGTTCTGCAAAGAGACTGCTTAACAGGAAACTGAACACTAGCAAAAATATTCTTCCCACTTATTCACACTGACTAATGAGAAAATTTAGCACATAGCCACTGTGACAGAACCACCTAACAGCCATTTTTTAAACAAAGTATGGAAACATGGATTTCTGATATGAACTGCTGGCCAAATAAGCGGAGGATGGTGGCAAGCACCATCTGTGAAATGTGACGCCAACTGTCCGTGAGCTTGATCACTAAAACGTTGTGAAAGATCTCACTAATTACATGTGCAAAACAGTGTTCACATCATTTGTTCCACAGAGGTGTAAATACCCACTTAAACCCCTCACAGCACATTCAGTTATTTTGTTGATCTCCCACTAAAAGATGGGGAAAATAGTAGCAAATCATCTCACCACTGTCCTCTGTTTGTTGGGGAGGTAGACTCTAATGGTGCCCCCACCTCGAGGTACATCCTCTGGACTAGTCTCCCCTGAGGAGGAGTACGAGGAGGAGGTGGAGGACATTTTGAAAGAGGCTGGCGGAGCTGGGGATGGCAAGGGGGACACAGAACTTGAGACACTGCAACTTCAGGAGAGCTGCATGCAGGGTGGGGTCCAGAGAAGTCCTTTACTTCGAACCTGCAACCACAATCACATGTCAGGTCTAACGATAACAACCAGGAGGCTGAGGGCTTAGATGTTGATCCTAAAATATCAACTACAGTTCAAAGATAATAGAAAACGCCTGTTCCAAGCATTACATTGTACACAGCCAAAACACAGCTTTGTTTGTCACCAAACACAAAAAGAACTGATGTATACATTGATTTATGGCTAAAACAACGATGTGAAATAGTACCGGTATATGTTAGTTTTACATTATTAATGTTTAATGTGAAAATGCTGAACTTTACAATAATAAAGATTAAGGGTGTAACGTTACATGTGGGTGTATTGAACCGTTTCTGTACGGCATGTTCGGTTTGGTCCACGTGCGTACCGTTTCGGTTATTTTTTCCATTAATTACATTTTATTAACAAGAGATTATGCACCGCAGAACTGAAGTTCCTAAGCGTGTTTCAACACGGTGCAATTATCTTGCAGCACGCGCAGCATTATCATAGCTTCTTGTTGCAGTCTCCTGTTGGGAACATTATGACTTTCTTGTTAAAAAAACAAGTGAACCGATCCAAAGCTGTGTGTTGACGTCTTTTCACGGAGATTGGATCTGCAGCAGCAACACGTCGAACTCGTTAACGCACTTGAAACGACATCATCTGAATGTGAACGTAGTTTGGTGCAAAGATCAATAACAGCATCATGTAAACAGCCTTTATCAGGTAATTCAGATCAATCCAGAGCAACAACACAAGCTGTAGGAGTTCTTAAAGCTCTGGATCTACGTCCAAATGTTGTTGATGCGCCGGCTTTAAAGTTAATGAGCCCCGCTACAACATCACGTCAACTCTTCAGCCAAAAAGTTGTAGCAGCACTTTATGAAAAAACTAAAACTGATCGTCAACAAGCCCTGACCCAGATTAAAGGCATGTCCTGAAAAGAGGGATTCAACCACCTCATAACAACCGTTCAAGAAGAGGTATTGTTATCATTATCTAATTAACTTTTTTATTTAAAATTATAATCTTATTAACTCTTTTTTTTTTTTTTATCTCTTTGTGTTTTATTTCCAGTCTGTGACAGAGATAGCAGCTGAGTCTTCTTCCTCTTCAGTGAAATCCACCAGAGATCACCTCCACCTAAGAATCTGTGATGAGTGAACTCTGAACTCTTCCAGGGACCTGTCCCACCTGTGGGAGCAGGTCCAAGAGGTTGTGAGTAATGAGGCCAAATACAGCCACACTGCAAAACTATCAAAGCTCTACCTCTTTATTCCTGCTCCTGTTGTTAGTGAGAGGTTTTCTCCACCGCTGGAGATATTCACTGCAACTTTTGGCAGAAAATGTGGACAAGTTGGTCTTTTTGGGCAAAAACTTAAAACTTGACTAGTTCGATTGTAAACAGTCTGTTGCTGCTTGTTGTTCTGGTTCTGACTGTTGTTGTATTTATTAAGATTTTTATTATTCTTAGTATAGTTTATTTATTGTAAAGAGTGCCTTTTATTTAAAATATAATCAAAATGGGTTGCTTTTATTTATTTTTATACAAACGTATAGTTTACTGGGCATATTTTCAAAATAAACATTTTGTAAGTCTTCATTTTGGCCTTTTTTGTACCAAAACTGAACCGAACAGAGCGCTCCTTGAAAAAAAAAAAAAAAAAAAAAGAACCGAAGTGTGATTTTAGCGTACCGTTACACCCCTAATAAAGATACACCATTTAACCAGTCAATATCGAGGGGGAGTGGTGGCGCAGAGGTTAGAGAGGTGGGCTTGTGATCTGAAGATCGCCGGTTCACGCCCCGGCCCCGACAACATCAAAATTGTGGGTGGGGTAGGTGAAACACCCACACTTGCCCCCACCCTCATTCGCCCCACTCTGGGCCCATGAGCAAGGCCCTTAACCCCCACCATGTGCTCCCTAAACAGGTCTCTCTTGAAAATGAGTTCTCGTGGCTCAATGAGACTAACCTGGATAAATAAAGGCTAAATGAAAAAAAAAAAAAAAAAAAAACAGCCACATTAAAAAAAACTGTCAATTTGTCATAGATGTGTATATTCAATTACCAAGTAGGAAGAAGACAATGTAGCAGCAGCAGCTGCTACAGCCAGCTTATAGTAGCTCAAAATTTAGAGCAGCCTTATTCATTTATGCAGGAATTGGCTTTATATTAATTTATGTGCACAATTTCTTCTGAGTTGTTATTGCTGGCTAAATGAAAAAAATACATACAAAATAAAAAAAATTGTCATGATCGGCTTCCGTCATGATATAAAACACTGCTAAAAACAAATAACTCAAATAAAGTGTGTGTGGCATAAGAATAACATCTTTACTCTTCTATCTGCCAAATAGAACTAATAACTAAATTTGAACAGAAATTCAATCTGCTGTTTCATAACGAAAACTAAGATTTTAAAACCCTAACTTTAATGTAATAACTGTGCAGCTTCAGGAAAAATCAAACTGGAAAAAACACTTTGCAAGTTTAATGATTTTAATCAATCAGTGCCTGATTTGTGAAAGCTTTGTGTGACCAGTTTAGGCCAGCTCGAGTGTGACTACCAGTAGTTAAGTTAGGTCCAAGTGTAACTAGTTTAGTTCAGCCTGAATGTGACTAGCTGATCCCACAAGGTTAAGTCAGGTCCTCTGGACGGATTCTTCTTTGTTCAAATGTTTCATCTTTTATCTAAAAGACTTCTTCAGTATGAGGAGCTGCAACAAACTCAGTCTTATAAATAGCATCTTCTCATAGTGGATCAACCAGTTTGTTGTTGACATCCAGAACCAGCTGTTCACATGATAAAGGAGGACCATCAGTCTAACAATTGATCATTAGAGCCCTAAAAATAGGTTGTTAGCACCCTGATGGCCACTTGCTATTCACAGGGGGCTGAGTGATACTAGCAATCACAGCATTGTAAGAGGGGGACAGTTGAACCCGGAGGCCTCCACCCCTGTTTGATGATGGATGGTTTCTTTTCACAAAGATGGCCTCCTTTACTCCTCTCTCAAACCATCGTTCCTCTCTGTTCAGGATGTGAACATCTTCATCCCTGAAAGAGTGACCGCTGGCCTGGAGATGAGTGTAGACCGCAGAATCCTGGCCTGATGATGTTGATCTTCTGTGCTGGTCCATCCTTTTGGCCAGTGGCTGTTTAGTTTCCCCGATGTAAGACTGATCACCCTCCTGACACTAAACAACATACACAATATTACTCTGTTTGTGCCGGGGGACTGGATCTTTGGGATGAACCAGTCTTTGCCATGATGTATTTTGACTGGTTCATCCTGCTGTTATTGCTAGTATCACTCAGCCCTCTGTGAATAGCAAGCGGCCATCAGGGCTCTAATGATCAATTGTTAGACTGATGGTCCTCCTTTTACATGCATGTGAACAGCTGGTTCTGGATGTCAACAACAAACTGGTTGATCCAGTATGAGAAGGTGTTATTTATAAGACAGAGTTTGTTGCAGCTCCTCAGACTGAAGAAGTCTTTTGGAAAACAGACAAAAGGTTTATTCAACCTTTATTTATACAGGTTAATGCCACTGAGCCCCGGGGACTCATTTACAAGACACCTGACATAAAAGAAGAATCCGTCCAGAGGACCTGACTTGGACCCCGTTTACACGATGAGTTTGAGTGAAACTGCAGATTTTCTGCTGCGGTTCGGATGTTCATTTACACAACACCCCTCGTTCTCTCCGAAACCAAAGATTTCTGAATCCAGTTCTCAGAGTGGAGATTTTCAGGGAAACCCCCCTGCGGAACTGTGAAATGCTCCATAAGTGTTAAGTGGCACATGTGCACTACAGGCACACATCTCACTCATGCGCAGCCAAACAGCATACTTCTATGAACGACAATAGTTATGTTTACATGGACATAAGTGATTGGATTAAATGGCCGTTTGGAATAAAAATGTGTCATGTAAACACCCCATTCGGGTTATTTTTTGTTTATTCAGCGCGATCCGAAAGAATTTGTGATCAGAACGAAAAGGGTGGTTTACGCCGATTCATAACCCGAATGGTGCGCACGTAAACGCTTGATCGGTTCTTTTTTTTCTGATTGTGAAAAACTGACCTGACTGCGTATGTGCAACTTTGCCATTTCCGCCTGGCTAATGCTAATAATATTAGCATGTCGGGGAAGCAAAACTGGTCGGTGAGCGACAACATTTCTACTAGAAACTTTGAACGAGCTCAAAATGATCTGAATTACATGTAGCTCAGTCAGGGAGTTCAGTAACGTCTCCACCGTCATTAAAACCTGTCGCGGGTCCATTTTGGGTGCTCAGGTTTGTTTACGTTCATCCCAGAAGTAAACTGGAAGTAGAACAACTTATTTTTTAAGGAGAGTATAACACTGTGCGCATGTTGGTACTTCTGTTCAGAACAAAGCCCGCTGCATGTAAACGCTCGTCATGAACAGATTGTGCCCAACAATACATTTTATTTAATCTGAAAACACTTCAATCCGGTCTAAGAATTTTGCGCATGTAAACATAGCTAATGGTGCTGGAGCATAGCAAAACATTTTTCTTAAAGTTCCATTAAGCAATTAACGGACATCATCAGTCCACACAAAGCTTTTTCCGCTAGCCATGCTTTCCACTCTCCAAATAAATATTTACGTTCCACACACAGGGTTCAAGCACCAGTGCACATGGACATTAGGTGGAGTGGAGGTACAAAATTCAGAGCGCCAGCTAAAGACGTGGCATGGCAACTACAGCAGACTCGGGGGATTTCTGCGGTTCCATGTAAACACTGAATGCGGTCTGTGCAAAAGAGGATTTTTTCACTGAATCAGCATACGAAAAACACTGTTTATAGTGGCTGTGTCCATGTAAACAGAGTCCACCTTGATAAATTTCTCTACCTGGATTATTGAGCATGCACCAGGACAAGGTGACTAGTTTAGGTCAACCCGAGTACGACCAGTTCAGTCGTCTGTGCGCGACCCGTTTTGTTGTGCGTGCGCGACCCGTTTCGTTATATGTGCGTGCGTGACTTGTTTCGTTATATGTGTGACTTGTTTTGTTATATGTGTGACTCGTTTTGTTATATGCAGGGGTTGAACGAGTATATAATTTTTAAACTCGACATTAACATAATAAAACCCGAGTAGAACTCGAGTATTTGATGACGTCATATATCTCAAGATACAAAAATAAATAAATAAATAAAACAGCAAAAAAGGTAATTATTTACAAAAAAAAGACCAACAAAACATTGTGAGCGTATATTATGCTCCTACCATTTATCATACAGCAAATAAGTCACAGGAAAAACTAAACCATTAGTTATTATTATTAAACTGCAAACGTGAAGAAACATGCAGCACGTCAAAAACGAAACTTAAACCGAAACTGGTTCGGTGGATAGGACCCGGTGATGCACCATACTCTGTGACCTGCAACAGTGCAACACCGCCCCCTACGGTCATACGGTGGTCACATAATATGACGTCACACAGATACCCGACTTTACATTTTTAACATCGATAGATGTCCTAGCAATCAATGTGTAGATTACTCGAGTACTTTGTTAATGCCCTAGTTATATGTGCCCCTTGTTTTGTTGTCTATGTGCGACTTGTTTCGCTGTGCGTGCGACTTGTTTTGTAGCGTGTGTGACTTGTTTTGTAGCGTGTGTGACTTGTTTCGCTGTGCGTGCGACTTGTTTTGTAGCGTGTGTGACTTGTTTTGTAGCGTGTGTGACTTGTTTTGTTGCGTGTGTGACTTGTTTTGTTGCGTGTGTGACTTGTTTTGTTGCGTGTGTGACTTGTTTTGTAGCGTGTGTGACTTGTTTTGTAGCGTGTGTGACTTGTTTTGTTGCGTGTGTGACTTGTTTTGTTGCGTGTGTGACTTGTTTTGTTGCGTGTGTGACTTGTTTTGTAGCATGTGTGACTTGTTTTGTAGCATGTGTGACTTGTTTTGTAGCATGTGTGACTTGTTTTGTAGCGTGTGTGACTTGTTTTGTAGCGTGTGTGACTTGTTTTGTAGCGTGTGTGACTTGTTTTGTAGCGTGTGTGACTTGTTTTGTAGCGTGTGTGACTTGTTTTGTAGCGTGTGTGACTTGTTTTGTTGTATGTGACTTGTTTTGTAGCATGTGACTTGTTTTGTAGCGTGTGACTTGTTTTGTAGCGTGTGACTTGTTTTGTAGCGTGTGACTTGTTTTGTAGCGTGTGACTTGTTTTGTAGCGTGTGACTTGTTTTGTAGAGTGTGTGACTTGTTTTGTAGCGTGTGACTTGTTTTGTAGCGTGTGACTTGTTTTGTAGCGTGTGTGACTTGTTTTGTAGCGTGTGTGACTTGTTTTGTAGCATGTGTGACTTGTTTTGTAGCATGTGT